GGTAAGTTTTTGGATTTTTACATCTCATGAAGAGGAGATGGGTGGATGGATGGATGGATGGATGGATGGATGGATGGATGGATGGATGGATGTATGGATGGACGGACGGATGGATGGATGGATGGATGGATGGATGGATGGATGGATGGATGGATGGATGGATGGATGGGTGGATGAAGGCCTGGTAGGCAGAACAATGGATGAATGGATAGATAGATGAAATGATGAATGAGAAGACTGATAAGTGGGAGGTGGTTGAATTAATGGAGGGGTTGACTGGTGGCTGAGTGGAATGGTGGAAGGGGGGGATAACTAGTGTCTATGAAGAGTGTTATTATAGATTTATAGATGTAAAGGTGGATGAATAGACTAGACAGAAGTGCATAGAGAAGTAAGTAGGTAGGTGAAGGGACTATAGTCAGGTGGTTGTGACCTAACTGTGTATTCAGCTCATGGAGAGTTTAATAATTTCGATTTTGGTCTATCAACTTCACGACGGTTTCTGATATACACGAATGGTCTGTATCTTAGACGAAAATTTGTCTATTTTAAGCACAATGGGGCTATCCCGAAAAATGCTGTTTAGGGAAAATCGAAAGTAAAGTATTTGGACCTTTGCTCAGTTTCTTTAAAAGACAAGGAAGGTTTTCTCTGTAACCGAACAGATATACACACCAATGAAATCAATCTTCTCCTAAAGGTAGGGCAATACCCAATTTTGGTGTAGGTCAAGATTTTTGGAAACCCCTGAAATCTGGGTTAGCCCACTTGTCCTTAAAAGCGACCAATTAGTTAAACAAGAAGATACCATCTATGATAATATAAGTCCAGATTTTTTAGACTCGATAAGTTAAAAGAATTCGAAACGTCATCATAAAGGTATGACGAAATCTTTAGTTTTAGTAAGAGTTTTACGGCACTTGCAACACACTAAGGTCATATAAGTGCCGAAGAATAGAGGTGTTACAAGAGAGTAACAAACACAAAAAGAGAAGGTGGGGAGATAAAGACAATAATAGATGTTT